GTGGACCATTTTTCTCTTGGGAGAAATATGAAGACCTCAGTGTCTCTGGATTGAAAACAATAGTCACAGTGTAGAAATCCCACTGCTTCCACTGAGAAGGAAGAATCATAACAGAGCTGGGGCCCCTGGGTGGCTCAGTGGGTTAAGCCTCTGCCTTCGGCTCAGGTCACGGTCCCAGGGTCCTGGGATCCAGCCCCACATTGGGCTCTCTGCTCTGCAGAGAGCCTGCTTCCCCCTCCCCCTCTGCCTGCCTCTCTGCCTACTTGTGCTCTTTCTCTGTCAAATAAATAAATAAAATCTTAAAAAAAAAAAAGAAAGAATCATAACGGAGCTGTGTCAGTGTGTCTCAGAGTCCAATTAGAAGAGCTTCTTACAGGGGTGCTGGGGTGGCTCAGTGGGTTAATCCTCTGCCTTCGGCTCTGGTCATGATCTCAGGGTCCTGGGATTGAGCATCGCATCGGGCTCTTTGCTCAGTGGGGAGCCTGCTCCCCCCACCTGCCTGCCTCTGCCCGTTTGTGATCTCTCTCTGTGTCAAATAAATAAATAAAATCTCAAAAAAAAAAAAAGAGCTTCTTATAGACTTGAGTAATACTGGGGTCAGGGAATGGACCCCAAAATGAGTGACATTTAAAATGACACTTGAAGAGAAGGAAGAAACCAGAGAGGTGAAGTACTAAGTGGGAGGGAGTAATGTGTTCTAGGAAGAGGAATTACAAGTGCAAAGGTCCTGGGACAAGACAGAACTTGGAAAGTTCTAGGAAAAAGGAAAAGACAGAATGTCTGGAAAATGTGAGATGAATGAGGTTTTTGGATTTTATTCTGCATGTAATGGGATGCCATTTTAAGGATTTAAGCAAGAAATTAATTTAAGATCATGCCAGTTGCTAGGTGAATAATGGACAAGGGATGGATAGAACAGAAGTAGATACAACAGTTAGGATGCGATTGCAGGGAAAATATAAGCTTCTCTTTAGAAAACAAAAATATAATTAGAATATGAGCTTCCATTTTAATAGAGGAATTTTTTTTTTTCCCTGTAAAATACTTTCTGACTAGATCTATTCAGCCAAAACAGTGGTTCTGAAAGTGGGGTCCTCTGGGCCAACCGCATTGTCATCACCTGAGTATTTGCTAGAAATGCAAATTCTCAGGCACACCTTGGAAAAATTAAATCGGAAGCTCTGGGGATGAGGCTCAGCATTCTGTGTTTTTATTAAGCTTTCCAGGTGATTCTGAGGCATCCTCTTGTTTGAAAAGCACTGGACTCAGAAAAAACTCTCAAGCAAATATTTTCTATGTGCAGTATGGCTCAACCCATATAAGGAAGGATCATCTTTCAATATTTGTAAAACATTCTTTAAATAATTACATAAATCAAGGGTGCCTGGGTCACTCAGTCGGTTAAGCATCTGCCTTTGGCTCTGGTCATGATCCCGGATGTCCTGGGATCCAGCAGGGTCAGGCTCTCTTCTCAGTGGAGAGTCTGCTTCTCCCTCTCCCTCTGCCAGCCCCCCAACTCACGCTTTTTCTCTCAAATAAATAAATAAATAAGCAAAATTTAAAAAAAAAAATACACAAATCATAAAACAATGACCAGTGAGCAAGCTAAGTATAAAGATTCTAGTTCCAATAATATGTAGATTTAATCCTGGAAACCTTCTTGCTAAGAAACATCTTGAAATGCTAAATAAAAATTATCCTTTGGAACATACACCTGACTCATGAAAAAGTAAGAGAAATTCCCAGGGGCTATAAGTGAAAGAGTTGAAAAAAGCAGTAAACTTGTGAGCTGACTTTGCGATTCTGGGGTGGGACAGGGAGAGGTGGCTAAGGGACTTGCAGTGTCAGTAATCTACAAGCTTGGGTTTTCTTCTTCCTTTTCTTCCTTTTTAGCATATAATAATTCATAGTAACGTAGACGTTTGGAGCTCACAAAGCACTTTCCTATAAAAGATCTTCTACATTGGAGAGTAACATGTTGGTACCTATAATGTGGTAGGATACTCCATTAATTTAGGAAGGCTTTGGAAGGAACTGATTTTTTTTTTTATTATAATCAAATAGATGGGAAGAGAATGGTTTCATAAAATATTTTTTAGTCACTGTGGCCTGAACTTCCTGTGACCATACTGTTCTTGCCTTATAATCATTGTCAAAAATAGATAGGGAGTGTCTTTTTTGGGTATTGGCTATTAATGCCTATATAGGGAAAGCAGATAATATCTCCAGGCCTCAATAAAAAGATGGCTTCTTAACAGAGCTAGACCCATAGAAAAAATGTAGGCCAGAACAAAACAAAACAAAACAAAACAAAACAAAGCATCCATTTGTACAGGAAGAAAAAGAGAATGCTCAAGATTGTCTCGACTTGTGTCCTAGCTAGGAAGACAAAAAAACATAAAAACAAAGCATTGCTGGGACTCTGTAGCCACAGGACTGTCCTCATATAAGTTTGGGGTTTGGATTTATATTCTCTGCTTAGTCTGGAAGCTCCAAGGTGGAGAAATTTACTTAGAGTTGAGGGGGCCTGGCGGAGGCATGCGGGAAACTGTTCTGAGGGAACACACCTCAGCCTAAGCCACACAGCATTCTCAAGTATAAAACCCTGCTAAACCTTCCAAAATACCTAAGGACACAGCGCCTCATGAGCAAGACTCAACAGACACCATCAGCATGATTAGACTCCCGCGAACTTGAGATAATGGATCTTTTGGATAAAAACTCTGTTTAGAATGACTAACAACATTTAAGAAATAAGATGTAAAAATAGTATCACATCAGGAAGACTTGAAAGTAAATTAAAATTTGAGGCACCTGGGTGGCTCAGTTGGTTAGGCGTCAGGGTTGGAAGATTGAGCCCCACATCAGGCTCCATGCCCAGCATGGAGCCTGCTTCAGATTCTCTCCCTCTGCCCCTCTCCCACTTCCTTAAAAAAATAAAAGAAAGAAAGATATTAAAATTTAAAAGAATTTCTAGAAACGAAAAATATAGTAATTTAAGTTAAAAAAATCAGGGGGAGGGTTAAATAGCCAATTAGACATTATGGTAGAAGAAGAAGTCAGATACAAGAAACTACACATTGTATGATTCCATTTACATGAGAGAATCAAACAAGGCAAATCTATAGAGGAAGTGGGTGAGAGGTTCCTTGGAATAAGGAGTAGGAATGACAGTAGCTGTGAATGAGGGGTTTCGGAATAGACGTTAGACGGGTTAGACGGAAATGTTCTAAACCGGGTTGTGGTGATCTTTGCACAATTCTACAGTTTTACTAGAAAATCATTGAACTTAAAAATGTGTGGACTTTATGACATGTAAATTGTGCCTCAACAAAGTTGTTAAAAAGAGAAGCAAAGCTAATAGTTCAAGATGTTTTAACTTTTAAGAAGTCCTACCTAGAGGCGCCTAGGTGGCTCAGTCACTGGGCGTCTGCCTTGGGCTCAGGTCATAATCTCAGGGTCCTGGATCAAGCCCTGCATCTAGCTCCCTGCTCAGAGGGAAGCCTGCTTCACCTTCTCCTGTCTCCCCTGCTCTCTACCTCTCATTCTGTGTCAAATAAATAAATAAAATCTTTAAAAATTTCAGAAAATAAAAGAGTCAACTGAATGAGTCATCCAGGTGCCCCTGTCATTTCGTTTTTAAATATTTTCCGCTGGTGAAGATTGAATTGAGGGGGTGGCAGTGGAGATGAAGAAGGTGATAAGAAGAAGGTGGAGACAGGGGTGCCTGGGTGGCTCAGTGGATTAAGGCCTCTGCCTTCCACTCAGGTCATGATCCCAGGGATCGAGCCCCGAGTCGGGCTCTCTGCTGGGCAGGGAGCCTGTTTCCCCCCTCTCTCTGCTTGCCTCTCTGCCTACTTGTCATCTCTGTCCGTCAAATAAATAAATAAAAATCCTTAAAAAAAGAAAATATGAGGAAGGTGGAGACAGAAACAAATGAATGGAAAATGGTTTTGGAAATCCAGGAGAGCGCAACAGAGGTTTCTGGCTTCAGCAACTCGGTGACCAGAGGGATGTTTATCGAGATGGAGGAGTCTTGGGCAGGGATTGGTTTAAAGGGAAAATCACGAGTTCAGCCTCAGGCTTGTTCAGCAGGAGAGATCTCTGAGACATCTAAGGGAGTCCACTGGGTTGTTGAGTATTAGGTCTGGAGAATAGAAGAGAGGTTTGAGCCAAAGTTACACAATTGGAGAGGGGCCATCACCCTGACACTAACTAGTTTTTGTTTTTTTAAAAGATCTTATTTATTTGACAGAGACAGTGAGAGAGGGAATACAGGCAGGGGGAGTGGGAGAGGGAGAAGCAGGCTCCCCACTAAGCAGAGAGCCCAATGCGGGGCTTGAACCTAGGACTCTGGGATCATGACCTGAGCCCAAGGCAAACGCTTAACAACTGAGCCACCCAGGCGCCCCTGGCACTAACTAGTTTTTTTTTTTTTTAAGCCTTCTTTTTATTTATTCATTTGACAGATAGAGATCACAAGTAGGTAGAGAGGCAGGTAGAGAGAGAGGGGGAAGCAGGCTCCCTGCGGAGCAGAGAGCTTGATGTGGGGCTCAATCCCAGGACCCTGGGATCATGACCTGAGCCGAAGGCAGAGGCTTTAACCCATTGAGCCACACAGGCACCCCTTGTTTTTAAGTTCCCTCTCAACTCTGCTTGTGTGTTCCATGAATACTTATTAGATGATTCGAAGTCTTAGGGAATCGGAGCTAAAAAAGACAGAGAGATTCAGTGCCTGTCCTTGTGGGTCTTACATTCAGTGTAGACCACAGGTGTTTGGCGGACAGGACAGGGTGGCCGCTTGGCTCGGTGGGGAAGGAGGTCACAATGTGTGTTTTGTGATGAGCGCTCTGGTATAAGTAGTGGCACGTAGGACCACCCCAAGAGCTCGGGATTCCTCCTGTGGGGAGGATACAGGCCACTCTCTGCCCTTGCACCTTCCATCCCAGGGCCAGTCATAGTCCTCTCTGGAGGTGAACAGATGGCTAGGGAGGGAGGAGATGAGGGGCTGGGAGGTGAGGTGTGGAGGGTTGGGGAGCCCTAGGGGCCGAGGGGATAGAGAAGTGCTGGGCCTCAATTCCTCCTCCTCCTTCCCCGTCCCAGGCAGAGAAGTCAGTGCGCGACTGGCCACAGGACCCATCCTCTGGGTGGAACATGAAGCACTTACGACAGATTTTTGTCCTGTGGGTCTTCTGGGTGGTTCTCTTGTGGCTGATGGCCCCCTGCCTGGATCTCAGACCTGAATCAGCCCCCCAGGAGAAACTGATGGTCTTGGTACCACAGCATTGCAACCGCCCCTGGCTCCAACTCAGGACAAGTGGCTGCCGATCCGAGACGCTAAACTCCTCCCTCTGGCACCACGGAGCTGGAGAACGGACAGGGTTTGCTGCCCGCTATGAGAAGACCGTGGAGTACCTGATGGAGACGACAGAGTCTCTGACCCCTGACACTGTGCTCTGGTGGTTGGTCAGTGGGCAACCTTGAGCCCAGTCCCACCCCTTGTTCTTTCAAAGCCTAGCCCATGTCCCACTTTCCCATCCAAGCCCTCACCCTGGCTTAGCGCACCTCTCATCTTCACGGTCTTGACCCCTGACCCCAGCATGGGGGCCTCACCCACTACCAGGTGACACTCAGGTCCCAGCCCCCAATCTCCCAATCTCCCTTCTGCTGTTTTCAGGGCATGAACTCAGAAAATGGGCTTGGCAAAATGTGGGAGAAGCTGTTCGAGGTGATTCCCAGGCCCTCAGTGAGCCATTTCCATCTCTACTGTGGGACTTGTGCTTTGGTGGGGAACCCCAAGACCCTACAGGCTTCTGGCCTCAGCCACAACATCAACCGGTACCCCATAGCCTTTGGGTGGGTGCTGGGGAGAGGGCAGGGCATGGGAAGGTCAGAGGTACCCTCAGAGTGCTGGCAGTTCCTGCTCTCCTTCCCAGGATGAACCAGGGCCATGCCCAAGGCTTTGAGATGGCGAGGAACCAAACCTCAGGACGCTTCGTCTACCCTGGGAATGCCAGCATCCAGGGCTCCTGGAGACAGCTGGTGTTGCTGCTGAAGCTTTCTGGTCTGGTGTGGACTTCAGATGATCCGAGTGAGGAGGTGATGGTCTGGGAACTCAAACGTTCTTAGTACGGGGGTCAGGGGAGGTTACTGCAGGGGAGGACAGACGGGCTCCAGGGAGACCCTCTGCTGGCTTATTTTTTTTTTTTAAGATTTTATTTATTTATTTGACAGAGAGAGAGATCACAAGTAGGCAGAGAGACAGGCAGAGAGAGGAGGAAGCAGTCTCCCCGCTGAGCAGAGAGCCCGATGCAGGGCTCCATCCCAGGACCCTGGGATCATGATCTGAGCCAAAGGCAGAGGCTTTAACCCACTGAGCCACCCAGGCGCGCATACCCTCTGCTGACTTATTGAGGGCACCTGCAGAACCTTCCCAGGTCTCAGACTGCTGAAATTCCCCTACCACCCAATTCTCTTAGATTCTGGAAGGTGGTCCAGTTCCCTAGTGGAATGGAAGGCAACAAAGACCAGGTAAGGGGACAGGAGGGAGTAAGACAGGGCTGTGGGCTGCTGCGGCAAGGGGCTCAGTTCAGGCCCCTCTCTCTTCTTCCCCACCCCCTGGTGATCAGCCCCACTTCCTCAGGTATAACCAGGGCAACTGGCTGGGTGATTGGGGTCAGTATGCATTCCTGGCACTCATGGCTCTGCTCTATCCTTGCACACCTGCGACCAGGTTAGGAAAGATTCTGGTCTATTTCTCACACAAGCAGAAAGTCTAAAAATTCTTTCAAGACCCTACATCATCTGACCCCCTTTCCCGCCTTCCTCTCTCCCAGGCTCCCACATGGGGCTTCTTGGTGTTCCCCAAACCCCAGCTGCCTCCTGCCTTCTCACACACTGCTGGCTCTGCCGGGAATGTCCTTCTCGTGTCTCCCTGGGGAGTCCTCTCTCTTCCTCCAATGTGAGGAGGACCAGCTGGTTGACGCCCTCTAGCTCGGCTCTGGGGTCACACTGTGTGTTCAGAGTATGTCTTCCCTGGAGAAGGCGAGCTCTGTTCTCCCATCTCTAAGAGGAAGCCTATCACACTAGATGTTTAATGAGTGCTGAAGCATCACTGGCTGACATGGGGGCAGGACAGGATCCAGCCTGCGACCCTGGGGCTCTCTCCTGTCTTATCCTATTTCCCAGGTGTCCTTATTTGGTTTTGGGACAGACCAGCTCATGAGGTGGTCCCATAACTGGGATGATAAGTATTGGTTTGAGAGTAACATGCACAGTTTCAAAGAAGAGCAGAAGGTCATCCTCACGCTGCAGGGTGAGGGGAAGGTTGCTATCTACAGCTGACATGTTTTCCATCCTGCTCAGCCCCTGGAGGCCCTAGGAGCGGGGGAACCATGGAGTGTCGGAAAGGGGACCCCAGATATAGATCACTCTGCTGCTAAATAAAACTATAGCTTATTTCTCTCATTGGAGTCCTGGGCTACATCCTATTTCAGATTCTTTTTTTTTTAACTTTAAAGATTTTATTTATTTATTGGACAGAGAGATCACAAGTAGGCAGAGAGGCAGGCAAAGAGAGAAGGGGAAGCAGGCTCCCCGCCGAGCTGAGAGCCCAATGCAGGGCTCCATCCCAGGGCCCTGAGATCATGAGATCATGATATCATGATCTGGGCCGAAGGCAGAGGCTCACTGCCACCCAGGCGCCCCCTATTTCAGATTCTTTTTTTTTTTTTTTAAAGATTTTATTTGTTTATTTGACAGAGAGAGATCACAAGTAGGCAGAGAGGCAGGCAGAGAGAGAGGAAGGGAAGCAGGGTCCCTGCTGAGCAGAGAGCCCGATGTGGGACTCGATCCCAGGACCCTGAGATCATGACCTGAGCCAAAGGCAGCGGCTTAACCCACTGAGCCACCCAGGCGCCCCCCTATTTCAGATTCTTAACAGCATACATATCACACATATCACCAAACCATATGTATGTATATATCTCACAAGGAATATCTATCTATCTATCTACCTATCTCTCACCAATAAATTTAATCAAATAAAAAGAGGAAACAAGCAAACCCTAAAGTTGAGAACAAATCAAATGGATCTAACCATATATTAACTTGATAATAGAAGCACCAGAGAAAAGAATTATTTTGAGTTCCTTTGGAACTCAGTACACTCTGTATCCTTTGAAGGATATATTCTGTGGACAAAAAGGGCTACAAAGACATTTTAAACATCACTTAGTAGATTTTCTATAATATTGGTATTATTTTTGAAACTATATGATGACTATCATGTAATAAGGTAAATAAATAATTATAGCAATATTATTAGGAACCAAGTATAAAGTCAGACAGAGTAAAAACCCTGTGACATTACATTCAAATTGGAAATATCATTATAAACTCAATTTTTAAGTTAGTTTTTATTGTGGCGAAATATACACAACATTTACCATTCTGACTATTTTAAAGCATACAGTGCAGGGCCATTAAGCACACGCTGTTGTGCAGCCAACCCCGCCGTGAACTCATGATTTTCTTTTCTTTTTTTTTTTAAGATTTTATTTATTTATTTGACAGAGATCACAAGTAGGAAGAGAGGTAGGCAGAGAGAGAGAGGAGGAAGCAGGCTCCCTGCTAAGCAGAGAGCCCGACTCGGGGCTTGATCCCAACACCCTGGGATCACGACCTGAGCTAAAGGCAGAGGCTTTAACCCACTGAGCCACCCAAGCGCCCTGACTCACGATTTTCCGAATACATTTTCTGCTCTGTCATCTGAACGGTCTAAAAGCCTGAACATAGCGGTAGCAAGGATTAATCCCAGAACCCAGATTTTGTTTTCTAAACACTTCTTTCCCACAAAGATTCCAAGTCTGGACAGGAAAGGTACAAGGAAAACCCAGACCTCGACGTTGGGAAGATTTGAACATCAAAAGTAGTACTTGTGGTGGAATCACAGGGAATATAAAAAAGATCCTGAGTCCATAAAGAGACTCAGAAATAAAACCAGTTCGTTGGGGGGAACTATTACATCAACTGGGGAGGGGGAAGCATTTATCCTGCTTTCCTTGTAGAAACAGTGGTTCAAAGTAACCAGACAGCCTCGGCCAACAAGGGTGTGCAGTTGCTGGGTCTGTAAACGAATAGCCAGTACATTCTACCTCCCTGTCTGCCCAACAAGCACACACACACACACACACACACACACACACACACACACACACACACTAACAAAATGCCTATGTCCCTCATGAGACCAGGTGCACATGTACCCGCTCCCCAAGGTCTCTGCGGTGATTGGCTGTTTTGCTTGGAGCCAGAGTCCAAAAATCCCCAAAGGCGTGAGCAGCACAGCTGCCCATCGTTTGTTATTCCGGGTACTGGACCCAACATGACGCATATAAACCTATTTGGAGGAATAACGTTACCCACTACAGAAATAGTCTTTAAGAATCAGCTGCTTCTGGAGAGAGGTTGGAAAAGAACTGGATGGGAAATGGCTACCTTCTTTTCTACTGAATTTTGTAACCAGGTGATGCACTGGCTTCATTTTAAGTAAATGAAACAAAAATCTATGGTGGGGGGAAGTTTGGGTGGAGAGAAATGTACTTAGAACCACATCATGGTTAGATCACTGTAGGTTCTTTTCTTAAGAGGGGCCAGGAGGCTCTTCCCCTCCCCGTCTCTGCCTTAGGCCCAGAACCCCTGCACTGGCAATAGAGGCCCCCGTCTCAGAGAGAGGGGATACAACAGTCTGGCCTGTTGTATTCCTGTCCCCATTATCCTTGATTTCCAACCTCTCCCTTGTCGGCCAGACCCTGGGCTGAATGCCAAGAGGAAGGCGATTATCCCCCAGGCCTCCAGGCAGGAACTCACAATGTGACCTGTGTGGCGGGGTCCCTGATACTGGGCTTCCATGAAGAACCCCACGGGGCATCAACCCCGTCTCCTCCAGGAAGAGCACAAGATACACCAAATGTTGCCTCTTCCCCGCTCCTCTCAGCCTCCATCGGTGCACCCTGTAGAGATTAGGTGACTGTGAGGGAGGCCGCCGGCACAGTGGGGCACCGGTGAGGTCCGTGACCACAGCTTCCTACTTCTCCCAGTGTCTGGCGTCTGAGTCAGCCTGCCTCTTGGCCCAGTGCATGGGACTGTAATGAAGCCTTCGTGGTGGATGTTAGGTTTGTGGGCTGCCTTGATGTTCACCTGTGGCTGATGCTTCTGCTCTGCTCAGGAAGGTCTGACTTGAGCAGGCTAGCTGGTAGAGCTCCAAGGGCCTGCCATCATTCTTGGGACGCACAGGCGCACCTCTGGACCCCATAATCCCAGTGTATCCATCCAGTCAGCTTGGAAACACTTTGAAAGGGCTCTCCAGAGGTCTCTTCCACCATGATGTTCTGCGGCACTTTGTCTGGCTTTCATCGAGTGGCCAGTGAGTCTCTTCTGGACATCCGGGTCATTCTGCGAGTGTCTGTCTACGCCCAGGCGTGTCTTCCCTGGGGAAGAGCTCCTCTTTTCAGGGCTCACTGTGCAGCTTCGTGACACACAGGTATGATGAGTATTTGCCAAGTGAATGAAGACCTGGATCCGGGGCAGGGGCAGCAATCAGCCCATTTTCTCCCCAAGGTTTCTGTCTGGAGTTGGGCAGACGAGAGGTGGGCCCTTATACAGAGAAGGGAGTTAGGTCTACTCCAGGCACTAGCAGAAGGCAAGGGAAGCAGCCTGCTAGAATGTGAGGCTATTCTTGGCCAGGAGCAAGCCTTAGACTCTTGGAGCTGCCTGGCAGGACTGAATACTCAGATCTAGGAGAGATTATGACAGGAAACCAAGAGAGGAGGTTTAAGATTGACATACGGATCACCAGACACTGGATAAAGCCCTCCCTGATTCCCTCGCCTCGACAACAGGCAGTGGTTAAGGAAGAACCAAATTTGAAAACAAGTTCTCCTCTCCCTGCCCACCTCCACACACAGGGCCATGTGCTGAGATCAGAGAGTAGCCACTCTCAGAGGGACACAGGGCACAGCGATAGCAGAGAAACGCACTCTCCTCGGACCCCTGACCCATTCACCTTTTTACCTCCAAGCCCTCCCACTTGCGTGAGGCTTTGGGCCTCACAAAGGCATACAAAGAGCTGATAACGTTGGTTAACAAAGGACTAAGAAGAAAGGTCATGATGTCCACACTGACAGGCCACCAATATAAACGAACTAGGTGATACCCCATGAGCACTGCCCTCCCTTCTCCGGAGGAGCCTCCATTCTCGGCTTTGCCTCCATGGGGGTCTAGGCAAACCCGGGTCCCAGCAGAGTAGATGGAGCAAATTCCAGGGCGCCAAGTGAGACTCTGTGGTCTTCATGCTCCCTTGCCCACTTTCTAAGCGTGGCGAGAGGAGCTGAGCCTGTGCTCCCTTCCCATTGTGCTGGAGGGTCACACAGGGGATGTGCCCCGCCCCTCCTGCCCCCTGCCTCCCTGTCACCAGCCCTGCTCTTCAGGGCTAGTGTCTGCACAGAGCTCAGCTGTTCCCTTCCCCCAGCCTGGGGAGCGAACAGGTGGTCAGTGGATCAGGGGGTGGGGCTGGGGAGGACACGGCACATGAAGGTATCATCTGTCCAAAGACCAATTAAGTAAACAATCAGCTGGCTGAAAGGGACCTGTCTCACAGGCTGAGAGGAGGCCTGCATGCAAAGTCTTAGCCTGGGAGTTGCCTTGATGCTTTTGTGGGTGAAGGATCCCCACCTCCATGGTGCTTCTGGAAAGTTCTCTTGCTGGCCCCAGAGCTGCAGAGGCTCTGAGGTTGCTCACCACGGCGCCACATCTGCATAGCCTGTTTTCACGGGTGGGCTGTCTGCCTGGTCTGACCAACACTTCCAGATGGGCTCCAAAGCTCCTCATGGAGCTAGAGACCTCCATCTCCGGAGTTCCCGGGCTCTGGGCTGTATCCCCTCCCCGACTCCTTTTCCACTCCAATGGGGTCCAGCCTCCTCTGTGTGAGAATGTGGGCGTCAAGTGGTAAGTGGTCTGTGCTCTTCTCCACAGACACTGATGCTGGGAGACCCAACCTGGGTCCAGCAGGTCAAGGAGGAACTATTTCAGCCGATCCCCAATCCCCAGGTCGCAGCAAAACCCTGAGACCCGCCCACACCTGTCCCGTGCTAAACAGTGTGGGACTCAGGGGATCGGCAGTCTTGGCGCCATGGGACATCCACCGTTGAGCAGCACACTGGGTCCCAGAGGGGGCGGGAGGGTGAAGGTGGTGAGCAGCGCTGGCCTGTGAACCCCAGTGCCCTCCTGACTTCCTGTCTCTGCAGAATGAACCAGGCCCCATTTTTAGGTTCAGGGAACAAGGGTAACCAACAGAGCCTACCTGCACATAAAGTACTTGAGAGGGCCTGGGAGCTGGCAAGAATTCCCACACGCTGTGGAAGCTTCCAGATGTAGCGTGGACTGCACGGTCTTGAGCCTTCGTGGACAAGGGCCCCTCTTACCAGGTGGTGTGACTGGTGGAGGTCCCAGGCCTAGAGCAGACACCCCTTGGCTTTTTTCTTTTTTTAAAGACTATTTATTTTTTGGCAGACAGAGATCACAAGTAGGCAGAGAGGCAGGCAGAGAGAGGAGGAGGCAGGCTCCCTGCCGAGCAGAGAGCCTGATGCAGGGCTCGATCCTAGAACCCTGGGATCATGACCTGAGCCGAAGGCAGAGGCTTTCACCCACTGAGCCACCCAGGCACCCCACCCCTTGGCTTTTTGGTGTAAATGCTGATCTTGCTGTCACTTGGCCACCTGTGACTACACTCCCTACCCCCTCGCTAACATATAGCCAGTTTTTCCTTCCCTACCTCATGCCGGGCAGCTTTTTTGCCTTCAACCTGCTGCTAGTCCCAAGTAGGGAAGCAGATGGATGAGTCGAGGTAATTAGGTTGTGCTCTGGTGATCCTTGTTCTAACACACACAGTATGGAGACTCGTTGAGAGTGGGGTGCCGTACCCCCCAGACCTAGGCAGTCCCTAGGAACAGGAACGTGGCCCAGGCTCTGGCTCAGCTCTTGTCCCTTTCTACTCTCAGGGCTTTCTGGCCTGTACCAGCCTCTAGCAAAACAGAGGAGGAGGAGGTTGGAGGAAGAAGTTTTGTGAAAGGAGACCCTTGTGCTCAGCTCTGACCTTTCCCCTTAGGGTTCTGGTGACCAACTTCACCATCCTCAAGTACATCCATGAGACCTAGCTGGTCAGGAACATAACCCAACCACCGATTCGCTGTGGCATGGGACAAAGAGAAGGAAAGGAAGCGCTGGCCCGATGCCCTTAGGTAAGGTTGGGTCCTGTCTGGAAGGTCCACACTCTAAGCTAGAGAACTAGAGGTAAGAGACTGGAAAGGAAGGTTCCAAGAGAAGTCGTTTGTCTTCGAGAACTCCTGGCACAGAAAAGGCCAGGAGAGGATTCTGAGTCACAGGGAGCCTGACCAGAGGTGGCATCCAGGGTCCAGAATCTCTGGGGCTTCAGGTATAGTTCGGGGGGGAGGGGGAGGGTTCTAAACTGTGACTTTTTACTAAGCATCTGTTGCCGAGTCCTGTACCATGAATTTTTAGAACAAAGCTTCAGCAGTGGTGAACCCTCCTCCCCCATCTACTCTGTGTGATGCAGGAGGATACAAGGGGACTGAGCCCTGAGTAAGCAGGTTTGGGGTAGTGGGGTGCTGCTCTCAAACCCCACATTCTTGACTAGGCCTTAGCTCCATCTTCAGGCTTAGAAAAAGGAATTCCAGACTACAATTGAAGGGCCAGAAGGCAGCCAAGCCCAGCTTCTCTAAAGAAAACTGTTCTCTTAGGCTTCCAAGAAGTTGCCAATGATGTCTTAGCCAGTGAATGGGGTTCAGTCCAGGGTGCCTCCACCAGGGTCAGTCCATAAGTGACAAATTCTGCCATCATCCAGCCTCTTTACTGGCTTGACACGTGATTGGACTATGGGGGACCAGAGTTGGTCCCAGGTGGTATGCCCAGGAAGGGAGGCCGGGGGCATTCACCCAGAGCAGAAGGGGAAGGAGACCAGATGGAGTGTCTGAACTTGAGAGACCAACTAGCCGAAGGTCAACTCAGTGTTTCTGAAGCCCTAGAACTTAAGTCAAGAACATATTATAGTTCCTCATCCTCCATGAGTTCAAATCTAGATTCTAAGCCCCTTTATCATTCCCCTCCCTTCCCATCCACCCTCGGCCCCAGCACGCTCCGTCACAGGCCCACTGATCTCACCAGCAGGCCTAGCAACCCCGCCTGACGGCTCCATTCTTCAACGGCCAGCTCAAGCCTTCCTTCCTTGGTCACCGGAATTTTTATCCACTTCTGGTCAGCACACAGAGCTGTGACTCATCCATGAGTGTTCTCGCCAACTGGACTCAAGCTCCCTGTGGACAGGGGCTTTGTCTTGCTGCGTCTGCCATAAGCCTTCTCTGTCAGAATGCAGGCGGACAATGAACTCAGGCCGCCTGACAGGAATCTGTGGCAAATTCTTCCTTCACAAATGCCCCGCTGTGCTGCGGCCACCCAGTGACAAAGTAGAGACAGCGGCAGAGAACAAACACAGAGACGCGGGGTTTATTGTTGGCGGGGAGGTGCTGGGACAACACACTTGAGATAAGAGGCATTGGAGCTCCTGTAGGTGACTCTGTGGGCTACGGGCAGCTGTGACTTGCCTCGCTCCCATGGGAGCCGGGGCCTGCTCCCAGCCTTGTGGGATTCCTTCCCTCCTCCTGGGCCATGACAGCCAGCTGTCCGTCCATGCAGTCCCAGGCTGGCCTGGATCCTGCCCCAGCTGTGGCTGCTACCTGGAGATGGCCTGCATAGTGCTGGGGCTGGGGCACAGCGGGACTGGTCCTGGGGACGTCAGACTTTGAGTCAGGGACTCGTCCAGCTTGCGGGTCTCGGCTTCCAGGACGGTGGCCTCAGGGGCCTGGGCCACGGCCAGCAGAGAGTGGGAGAGGCTGTGGTGCAGGCCCGCTAGCTCACGGCTGGTCTGCACCGAGCGAGCGATGTAGTCCTGCTTCTGCTTCCGCTCCAAGGCCAGTTGGGCTCGCAGCAGGGCCACCTGGGTCCGTGCGGGTGGGGGGAGGGGACCAAGAGGGAAAGAGTAATTAAGGGCCTTGAAGCAGCCCCAAGTCCTCCTGCTCCGCTCCTGGGAGAGAGCATTTGAATCAACAACCGCACGCCGATCTCAGGATCAGGCTCTAGGGTGTCTGGGGCAAGGGCCCTTGGGAGTCATGGGAAATCCAGGGCTCCTCAACCCTGGTTATGTAGGAGACTCAGATAGGGACCTTACAAACAACAGCAACGACAAGACTACTCATCCGTTTTATTGAGGGATCATTTGCATGTAATAAAATGCCGGGATTTTAAGAACATGTTGTGATGAGTTTGATCACACATGTGTGCGTGCGTAAACGCTATCCTGATCGAGATACAGAGTATTTTATCGTCACTGCAGTACGCTCTACTCTGGAGACTCTTGATAAATACTGTGACTTAATTAGATGGCGCTGAGGCCTGGGCGTCAGCGTTTTTTCAAAGCTCCCCAGGTAGTTCTCAGGTGCAGCCAGAGCTGGGAATCACGGATGAACCCTTGTTTCTCCGATGAGTACACAGCACCAGGAGGTGGTTATGGGGAGCTCAGGGCAGCGCCAGGACTAGGGTGAGGCAGAGAGGCCCCTGGGTTGTGGAATTTAAGGAGGGACTCCAGGTCGCCAGTGAGCATCTCCTTAAATTCTCACCTGGGCGCCTGGGTGGCTCAGTGGGTTAAAGCATCTGCCTTCGGCTCAGGTCATGATCCCAGGGTCCTGGGATCAAGCCCCGCATCGGGCTCTCTGCTCAATAGGGAGCCTGCTTCCCCCTCTCTCTCCCTCTGCCTGCTTCTCTGCCTACTTGTGATCTTTGTCTGTCAAATAAATAAATAAAATCTTAAAAAAAAAAAAAAAACTTTAAAAAAAAAAATTCTCACCTGGGTGTCTCCCTTGCCTCACCTAGTCTGGGCCCCATCTCGGGACTGCTTCGTGTGAATTCCAACTAATAGCTGAGTCTAGTTGTATGGTCAGGCTCTGCTGGTAGTGACTATTAGTTCCTGAAACAGGCTCAGAAATAAAAATTCCATGGTTTTTACTACTCTGGGGCCTTGAGAGACAGGGTGAGCCTTCAGGTAAGGCCTGGGAGGCAAGAAGGCACTTGATCCTGGCTTTCTGGGGTGAGGCAGCTGGAGCTGCGCTCTGAGGTGTGGATCTTGGTGCTGGTGCCAGGCTACTCTGCCTGGTGTGCTGGCAACAGTCTGGCCTGCAGGGGTGCACGTGAGGGCAGAGGAGCCCGGGATCCTTGTTGTTTGCTTTCCTCTGTCCTCCTAGAATCTTCTGTCTGCCCCTCAGCCCTCTTTCTTCTCCTGCTCCTTCATAGCTAGGAACCTGGTGGTCTGGGGTCTGGAGCATGCTTTCTTCCCTCCTCCTACCCTAAGCAGATGGGAGGCTGAGTTGGGACTGGGCTCTTCTTGCCTCCCACACAGACTGAGGTTCTCTGAGGGAGGAACTATTTCTCGTCTCCCTGCTGGAGGCGCACAAAGGGTCAGGCACACAGCAGACACTCATGCTTTGTTGCCTGATGGCAAAGGAGGGAAAGGGGGCTTAGAAAGCTGATCCTTCCAGAACATACCTCTTTCTGCAGTTCGGCCACGTGCTTGGCATCTGAGGAGCCCTTCTGTCCTCCTCTTCCATCCTATGGAAGACAAATACCATTCCTACTGGAATAGGCCTTCCTGCCCTGGGGGTTCTGAAATAGGCACCTATAGCCAGCTCATCCCAATCCTGGGGGCCAAGGCAAGAGCTATGTGACAGAACCCAGACTGGACTCCATGGGGCACCATGACCATTGGGCAAGAAGGCCTGGGAGGACCCAAGCCAGCCTAGTGGATGACGCCCCACAGAGACCTGATACTGAACATCCAAAAGGCTTGGGTGGCATTGGCTTCTTGAAGTCACCTTTTAATTTACAGAAGTATAACATGCGTCTGCCTTGTGGCAGACCTGGGCTGTGAGGTAGGGGTGCAGAAAGGAAGTAAGACGAGGTTCCTGCCCTTGGGAAGCTTTCATAAAAGAAGGGGGATGGAAAGCTGGGAGACGCTCAGCTAGCAGAAGCAGTCTCTCCCTGACAGGCCGCAGCACTGTTCATGGATGGGCATAACTCAGCTAGAAGAGTCCTGGTATGGGGAGTCTTCCCCCAGTTCCTTACCCCAAAAAGGGAGTCTAGTCCCTGGAAATCCCACGGACTCTAACCTCGCAAATTCAGTCCTATAAGGGAGGAGCCTCCAAGAGGCCCACAAAGCTGCTATAAGGCTCACAGGCATGTCAGGATCTGGCAAGTACCACCCGACACCCACTCGCCCAGGATTCTGACCAGAGACCTGATGAGCCCCGCTCTTAGATGAGCCCGAGGCCCTGGTCTGCAAGCAGGTAGGTTACACATCAGGGAAGGCTTTTTGAACTCCTGAGAAGGTAGGGCTGCGAGCCGTGACTCCATCCCCACCCACTGAAGATGGGCCTCCTTCCTGGGTCAGGGACAGACTGAGCTGTGCAGAAGCCAGCCCGGAGGGGCTCCCCGGAGCAGCTCACGTGGCCGTGTTCCCCTGCAAACCTGCTGTGTGGGGGACGAAGCTGTGGCTTCCCTGACCTCCGGGACGCCCGTCTTCCATGCGCGCATGGAGTCCCTCTTCAGCTTCCTGCGCTCTCGCTCCACCTGCCGGGACGCAGGTGAAAAGTCAGGGCTTGGCTTGGCTCTGGGGCGGGAACAGAACTGCCTCCCTCGAGAGGAGGCTGGCGTGGGTGCGGCTGTGGGTGTAGGGGTGAGCAGAGGACAGCAACCTCGAGAAGGGGTGAGGAGGGCGCGGGCCAGGGCAGCCTTGAGAGCAGAGAGGTGCTGCTGGGGCAGAAGAGGTAGGGCCCGCCTCTCAGGCCTTCTGACCGGGCTTAGCAAATGCTTTCTGTAGTATTTTGGGCTTTGCAGGCCGTTAGATCTCTGGCCCAACTATTTGACTCCACTACGCCGGTGTTCCCATGAACACTGCTTTTCAGCAAGAGGCAGCAGGCTGGATATGGCCCCTGGGCTATAGCTGACTGCTCTGCTCCGGGGGCTCCGTGAGAAGCGGAGATACCCATGTGCTGAGCCCCAGATGAGGACACTGAGGACAAGAGAAAGGACC